TTTCTGTTTCTGTGGCTGCTTTTCAGCTTTCAAGCAATTGGAACTGTATCGTTGATGCTGACGCTTGTCAAATGCCGCAGTGGCGGCCCAAAACGAGCCGCCGACTCGAATAAATTTCAGTTTGGCGCTGAAATATTTACGCAGCAGCCAACGCGCTCAATTTCCAGGAACAGGCAATGAGACGAAACCACAAGCAACACAAAAAAAAAACAGTATAAAAAAGGCTAAAGCCAAACCCAAGCCAAGCCTCATGTGCGAACTGGAAACCAAAAACCGTAAAAGAAATCCGCGCATATGTGGCGAATAAACTAACCAAACATCCCAGACAGTTGTAGATCCGGTCACAGCTGCACACACGCACATACACAACTACAAGTTATAATATACAAATGCTATATCTAAACTCTGAGCAGACGGACTCGAACTCGAACTCAACTCGACTGATGGACAGCACGCGCAGCTAGAGAATTGTGCTAATTGCCAAGTTCATTTGAGATAAATTCACAATGCTGCAGCTACACAAGTGAGCCAATTAAAGCAGCTCAATAGTCTAATTTGCATGCCCTGTAAATATGAGATGCTCAATACAGTCTCGCATCAACTGGATACCAATAATCCAGTTACACTGCTCAGTTTACATGAAGTCATAATTTATTTGATAGATAATTGCAAATCCAAATTCAATTTCAATTACAAATATGATTTATGGCCTAACTAAGCCAGGCCTTCAGGCAGCTCCAATTAATTATCTATCAAATCTATTTTAACTTTCACATATGATTTGAGATTGTTTGATTACTCTGAGAGTCAGGTCCAATTCGCACTGAAAGCGTAATCCAAACTGGATTTATATAATATCTATAAGTAAAGCATCTCGGGCAACTGGAAATTGTTGCCATTGGTTTTTTCTTGCAACGTGCGCCCTTTGATTGCTGCATGTTATTGAAATTTTAATTGAGTTCTCACCTGACTGGCGCAGTAGCTCATCAAAAATTGACCCTTGTGCAGAAATGTGCCCAAAAAACCAATTGGCAGTTGGCAATTGGCAACGCGTGCGACATAAGATTTAAATGAATTTTATGCAATTTTTCGGTGGTAATTCATTTAGTTTATTGCTGTCAATAAATTAATTTCATTTTGCTGCTCATTTTTTTATCGTGCATTTTCCAGCGGCCTGCCTCGTGGACTGTGTTATTTTTAATAGCATTTCTTTTTTTCCCATCTCAGTGTGGCATTCCGATGAGAAGCTGAAGCCGCAAATACGTAAAAACAAAACACAGCGCCACGGGCTGACAGGGGAGAGACTGCGGCAGCTATGGGGCAGTAGAGGCTGTCTGGCAGGAAGGCGAATAAATAAATTTGTCAACAAATGAGGCATCCAATGTCGCGTCGTGTGTGGGTGAGTCCGATGCTCACGAGGATGGGACGACGACACAAATAATGACGACAGTTGCGCATTCATTTCGTTTCACTAATTAATAATTTGCCGCTGCTATAATTGTTGTTGTTGTTGTTATTGTTGCTGTTGCTGTGCAGGGGAATGGTTTATTGTCCTATTAGTTCGGCATTTAAATGGTAATCAAGGCGTGTTCTGTTGTTGGCCAGGTAAGCTCGAAGTCACGCAAAGTCACAAATGAAAGTCAAAACAACAAAAGGCACAAAACCAATTCAAAGCAACAACCAAGCAAACAACTGGCCAAGTCCCATAAACAAAATGCTCAGCATGTAGCGAAGAGCAGGCAACAGCGGCAGGAGCACACGGGCTGAGACCAAATTGAAAACGAAGAGGAAATCAATTGATATGTAGCGACAATCGATATGCCGAGGTGTGGTCTGCTCTGCTCCGCTCAGCTCAGCTCCGGTATGGCATGGCCCGTTAACATTCGAATTGGTGTTGGTATTGCTCGGTTGCCCAGTACCGTCTGTGTGGCAATGGCCGAAAAACAGAAGCGTCTGTGGCCTCAAACAAGGCCAAGGGGTATGGCTGGCTAGGCATGGCTGGCTGAGGGTATTGGTTCGGGTGGCTTTGTGGTAGGTGAGAGTTTGTCGTTCTGCTTTGGCACGCCCTGAAACCGCACAGCACCACCAGCAACAAGGCGCATGGGCTTGGGGGTGGCTGCTGGCGCGTTGGCCTCTCGCCTCCCCCAGCCCAGCTGCGGCAACATATGCAGAGAGAGACGCACTGTAGCAGCCGTGAGACATATGAGTATATCCACTTGGTGTTATCCTGACAACGTGATTGAAATTTATGACTGGCAAAAATATACGCAAAGCAACAGCAACAGCAGCAGCAGCAGCAGCAGCAGCTGTGAAATATAAAAAGAAAAAGGCAGGGAGAGATGTCTCTATGTGCGCGAAGGGGGAGCGACTCAGCACGTGAGCTGAATGTGACCAAAAGGAGAACATCTCTGGCTGCTCGGCGAGCTCAGTGAGAAATTGCACTGAATAAAAAGCACTTGTACGCATTAAAACCTAATTGGAAATTTCCATAGTTCATATACCATTTTCTCTAACAGTCTCTATATGGCTGACTGTCTATCTGTCTGGATATCTGTCTGTATATCTGTCTGTCTCTGTGTGTGTGTGTCTCTCTGTGAGTGGCTACTGCTCTCTGTGGCATGTTCTACATATTTTGGCTTGCAAAATGTCACACGCAGCCAACGATGTCCGTTGAGAGTCAAGCGCTGTCTAGTGATTGCTGTCGTTGTTGTTGCTGCTGCTAAAGTGGATTTTGCGTTTGGCTATGATAAATTGAGGGACAGTTAGGGGCAGTAGCAGCAGCAGCAGTAGCGTATGGTCAGCATTAGAGTATGTTGGGGGCTAAACAACCATGTGAAGCACTCATCTAGCAGGTGCAGCATCCAAAAGCTGCGAAGTGTGTGTGGTTGAGTGTGTGTGCGTGTGTGTGACGCGGCAGGTCACGACGGGTTGAGAGCTTAGTACTGAATGAGTACTGGTCAAATGTCATTCACAGTTGGAAGAGAATTGCCACAGCATTGCACTTGACTTTTCATTTCAAAAATATTGACAACCATGAATAACGAGCCAATAAAGGCTGCCAAACGAGTCACTAAACAAATTAGCTTGAACTTACATCAAATAATTATTTAAGACTGTTCGATAAAAGTGAAAAAAAACTATCTCTGCAATCTGCTACTGCCTGTATCTGTTGCTTTGACCTGGTACTCACTGTATTTGCAGTCTTCGATTATGCTTTTGCATGGCTCCTGCTGTAATTTGATCAATCTCAAGTGGATAACGACAAGTTGTAAGTAATCGAATTAACTGAAGCATATTTCAAAGTGCGGCGCCATTTTGCTTAGCTGCAATGTCCTTGGCACGAACTTCAGGATAACTGAGCTGCATGTCCGGACAGCTCAAGTGTTGAGTATGAAGACTTTTGCCGCAGTCACTTACAGAGATAAGCAAGAAGAACTTGCATAACCTAGCCCCGTCCCGTTTGGCTTTGATTTATTGTTGTGTTGGGCTCAGAGCTGTGAAAAGGCTGCGCTGGAGCCGTGGCACCGTCCGCCTGGCACGCGCTTATCAAAGCCGTCGGGAGTGCCGGGAGAGAGTCGAAAATTTATTTATTTGCAGTGACTTTGAAAAGAAACTTCGACCGTTGCGCTGGCTAGCAGAAACTTTCGACCTGCGTGCGCATCGATTAGAAAACTTTTTGTCGTATTTTGTCTCCAAAAGCAAAGTGGAGGTCGGGGTCTTGGGCCGAATTGGCCAAGTTGTTAAATAATTGCGCTGAGCATTTAGTTACCAGAGAGTCGTAATCCCACACAGCCGGCACACGCTGCGTATGCGTCATATGCTAGGCAAAAAATTGCAGCTGGAAGCCCGGTCCATACGTGGCCCGGATTAGCCGCAAACTTTGCCAGCAGCTTAGCGGCACTCGAGTGGATGAGTTAATTGTGCGAATGTCAAGACAAATTGCGTTAATGCGCCAAGCGTACAAAGGACACCAGCGACTACGACGACAATGAATACAAGGACGCTAAAAGCACAAAGTTGTTCATGTCCCCACCAAATCCCATAAGCAAAGGTCAGGTCAGGGGTGGCTGTGGGCCTGATTGCGCCCGCGATAGCAGTGTGTGTGAGTGTCGCTAAAGTTTTTAAAAAGTATTTTAAGCAAAATTTATGCAAACCACAAAGCAAGCTGGCAGCCATACACAGACACGCAGGCAGGCACTCAAAGGACATGGCTAATCCCCGAGTAATCAAAGTTTGGCAATGCCAAGCGAAACGAGCAGCGAAGGAAGCTGCAAGCTGAAAGCCAAACATAGGAACAAAAACCAGTAGCCAACAGCCAACAGCTCAGACAAATTGCACACAGAGACAACCCACACACACACATATACATAAAGACACTCAACATGTGTGTGCTGACAAGAACTGGGGGCTGGGCGCCAGTCTGCGCCCTCTGATGGAAGCGAGTGCAAAAAGAAAACACTTTTCCAATTAATGAAATCTCTAAACTGCCATAAATTTACCCAGACGCAAATAATTAAATTGTGTTGGCTATCACGCCTCTCACACACAAGACTTGTTGACTTATGTGTTGCTGTGTGTGTGTGCGTGGGTGACTGACATGTCAAATCAATTGTGCATTAACCATGCCCTGGCCACAAACCACAAATAAAAGCGGCTGCCGGCCAATGCCTAAGCCATCAAATTGACAAGTGTTCACATAGCGAGGGTTGCTCTAAGAGTTTTAGGAGCGAAGCTACTCAAAATGAACTATATTTTTATATTATTTTAATAAAAATTTTTATATATAGAAATATTATTTAATATAAAAATTTAATTCAAATTTTTTAAATATATTTTATAAATAAAATATGAAAATATTTTTTAAAAATATTTCAATTTGTATAGATAATATCACTGCTAATATTTCGAAATATTTGCGCATTATATTTAACAGAACTTCATTGAGCTACCCTCGCATTTAAATGCAGCCCTTGTAATGCAATTAGAACGGTTCAACTCACCTGGTTGGCACTGACACTCGCCATTCGCTGCTGGGCTGCCTCCGAGGCTGGCTGCTGCGGCTGCTGCAGCCGCTTCGGCCGCTTGCCGGCGTTGCTGACGTCGCGTCAGCTGCAGGTGGGAGACATCGCGACGCAGACGATGTAGCTCGCGGCGCACATGTAACACCAAGTGCGAGGATGTGCCGTTCTCGCTGTTGCTGTTGCTGTTGGTGCTGCTGCTGATTGGGCTGGATATGATCTGGGGCTGGTCGGCGGGCCAGTGCAACAGTTGCTGCTGCTCCAGGCGCAGCTCCAGCTCAACGATGCGTGCGTCCAGCTGCTGCAGGCGCTGCAGTCGCTGCTCGAGGCGCGTCTGCCGCACATTCGCATAGAGCGCAAAGCTGAATGCACACAGGCAAAGCACATAGCAGGCGATGTGCAGCAAGGACATGAGCTGGACTGTGTATCGCGGCCGTTCCTTGCTGTTGGCTGCTCGGGCTGTTACTGCTGCTGCCGCCGCTGCAGAACGCTGCTGACAGGTGGCCGTTGGTGTTGCAAGGCGACTAGTTGTGCTTGTTGCAGCAGCAGTTGCTGCTGTTGACGAGGCGCTGTCAGCGGCCGCATGGCCAAGCAACATGCGCTGCTGCTCCATATCGACGGCTGCAGCAGCTGCTGTTGATGTGGTTGTGGCTGTTGTTGTTGTGCTTGCTGCGTTGGTGTCGTTGTGCACTGTTGGCATTGTCCTTGTCACGGAACTGGGACTGGAATTGGAATTAGAACTGATTGGGTGGCCGCCGGGCGGCACTTTATGTTTGCGCATGCTGCGATTGAAGACTGTCTGTCGCCTGTTTTAAGCTAATGCTAGAGACGTTGCTGCTGCTGCTGCTGCTGATGTGGCTGTTGATGCTGCTCCGGCTGCTGCTGCTGCTGCTGCTTGGACTGTGCTTAAGTGTGTTGGCGGCACTTGAAGTGTCCTTGTCGCATCACAAAAACACATGTGCTGCACTATGCCAGCTGCTCCTTTATTTTTTGCCTTCTTTCCCTTGCTCGAGTGTTTGGCTATGTCCTTGCCGATGCTCTATTCCGTTGCGCTATTTGGGCAGCACATAGTGCCTGTAATGCTGCTATTGTTGCTATTGCTGTTCGTGTTCACGCTGTTGTTGCCACGGCAGGCGAGCCGCATACAAAAGCTACGCGCCCATCGACTGTGTGGCTGCGTGGGTGGTCCAAATTCGCTTCTTGGCTTTTGGGGCAACGACACACCGAAAAAAAAGAAATCGTTGTGAGCTGGAAAAAAATATAGCTGCGTACTTTTGGGCGCTGCTGCCACTTGTGCCACTTGTCAAACTCTCGCCGTGGTTGCTTTTGTTTTTGTGTTGTCAATCGTCACAGCAGCTGCTTCTAGCTACTGCCACTGCCTGGGCTCCTTGACAACTTTTCTGACAGCGCTCAGCGAGTTTTCGCTCTTCACGTTTTTACTTTTCCTTGGGCTACCGCGCAGTTTTCACTTGTCCCACGAGCGCTCTTCACATTGCAACTTATTTAGTTCTTCGGCTCTTTGCGCTGCAACAAACTGTAGAGAAAAGTGAAAAAGTCAGAAAATAGTGAAGCAGCAAAAAAAACCGAAAAAATTGTCAGTGAAAAATGCGGGGTGAAAAAAGTTTACAAAAGTTGCCAGCAAATCGGCGCAGGCGTTTGCCGCATTGGCCATGCTTGAATTATGGCAACTGGACCCAGTCGACACATTTTCAATAATCAAGCAGGCAGCGTTGCCAGGACGACATTCTAGCTGTGACGCGTCCTGGCGTTAACTTCGTTTTAAGTTCAGCCAGCCGTGTTTAGCGGCTACCAACTTGAGCCGGCTCAACTTGTTCGCAAACTTTTGCGCAGCAACTGAAAAAACAACAGCAACAAAGAAAAAATACCAAAAAACCGACAGCAACAACAACAGAGTTGCCATTGCGGGGGGCACTAAAAGTATTTGACCCACAGCGTTGGCGTGTCAAAAACATTTGTAGCCTACAACTGTTGACTCGGGCGGGCTGGGCATGAGGATGGGGCTTTCGCCGGCGTAGCGCCACTTGAGCTCCCACAAAACAGACATCAGACGGCAGACAATATAAAAATCATAAAACAGAATTATTGTCATGTTGGGAAATTTAAGAGCAGCCAAACTTGAATATGCCACGAATAAATAACTTTTCAAGAACTGAATCATTTATTCAAGCACATCTACATCTGAGTGCTGGTGTGAAACACACTTTTCCGAACTCCATTTTCTAGAGAGAGAGAGAGAGAAAACACGCAGCAAGTCTTGTTGAAGATATCCGCATAAAGTGCTATGAAAATGTCTTAAAAGAAAAGTTGCAAATGTCAAAATTATTTTGTGAATTTCAGAAGATGCCAGTTGTACTAGAGTTTATATTAAGGTAATGTGAGCTGCTTGAGAAATTAAGAGAAAATTCGTGAAAATTCTATCAAATATATTCATTTACAGTTCGCTGCTCTAGATAATGCTATCATCTCTTGTTTTGTGTTTCTTGCTATATATAAACAGAAAAGAAAAGGTTTAATAAAAAGAAGCTGCTCTTCAAGTGTTATGCGCGCATCATAATGGATTATACAATACGTGCCCTGCCTGTGTATGTGTGTGTGAGTGTGCGTGTATATTGCGCAATCATGTGGCAACCACAACAGGCAGCAGTAAGACAGAGGCTGAATCGCTCATAAAACTCAAAAACAATCGTATGAAAAGCGCACCACAGTACGCGCCACAGCAACCACAATACAAAAATTGAGCATAAAAGTCAAAAGGCCAATTTCGATGAGCAGTGAACAACAACAACAACAACAACGGCAACAAAAAGCTGCGGCAGCAATAAGCAGCTTATGAAGCAAGCAGCGGGTGCAAGTCAATGGAATGTTTGCTACACCCTAATAAAACTAATTGAAAGTCTTGTGCGCTATGGGGCCAATAATAATGCCAATAACAACGGACAGCAACAACAACAACAAGCTTTTAATTTAACAAATAAGAGCGAGCCAATCCAACAAAACAGACAGACTGACAGACAATTGGCCAGTGAAAAGTCAGAGAGTTGACCCGAGTGGGCATTGCTTTTGCGCTGACTCTGCACTCGGACGGACAGACGGTGAGACGGACATACGTACGTGCATATATGTCTTTGTGGCTGCTGTCAGCTGGGGGTTAATGCTTTCTGATGCTAACTCAATATAAATAAATTGATTTCAAATTTCAACAGTTTGGCGCGCAGCTTTTGTCAATTACATGGATCTGAAGCTGCCCTGAGGGGGCGCATGTCCCAAAAAGTATGCTATGAATTTTTGTGCGCTTAAATTCAATTATGTGTGTCGGTCATGAGTGTGCGAGCGGGCGAACGAGCGTGTGTATGGGTGTGTGGGTGTGTGCCAGCGAACTCTACTTAGTAAACGCACACACACTCAAACACTTATATATATATATATGCATGAGTGCGTGTGTGTATGTGTGTGCAAGCGTAATGTGTGTCCAGCTGGCAATTGAAAAATTTGATTTCGAATTGAAATGCAAATCAAGCAAATAGAAAGGCATTGGACGGACGAGGGCCACTGGACAATCCTTGCCGAGAGCCCGGCTCAGCTAATGCACACAATGTTGAGTTAAGTGAGACACGTGTGTGGGTGTGTATGTTTGTATGAATCCACAAGCTGAAACCAGAACGTAGCTAAGGAGCGTCAAGGGCTGTAAAAAGCTCAATTGCAATGCATTCAAAGGATTATTGTCCTTATTTATTTTGCTAAATTTATTCGTTACGCACAAATGCGCAAAACAATACACACACACACACGCACACGCACACAAGTCACACACAGCCACACATAGGTATTGCCTAGGCAATTGGCAAACTGAGGAAAATGAAAACATGAAAGGGAACAGCAGGGCAAAATCAAAGCAAATAAACAATAAAAATAATCGGGCCGTTAGTAACACATGCGCATTCTTCATCATCATCAACAACAACAACAGCTGATGGCTCAAGGAACAAGGAGCAGCGCCCAGGAGCAGCAGTTGACGCCTCAACAACCACCGGTCACATCACATATATGTACGTATACACATCTATATATATTGCCAGCTTTATTGCTGCCACTACACATGAACAGCAACAGCAACAGCAACAGCAACAACAACAGTCATCAACAACAGCCAACATCTTTGGGCTGCGAAGTCGCCCCAACCCTGAGCCCTGGGGCCTTAGGTGCTGTTCGGGGTAATAAATAGTTGTCGTGTCATATGAAAAATGCAAGCAGTGTTTAAGTTTTTCTTGGCAGCCAGTTCCGGAGACATGGCCCCAACCTCCTACTGGCTGTGGATGTGCCATTTCCCAGTTCAAGCTACTATATATATGCTCCTTCCTTTTTTGCTGCTTCATCGGCGAAATTGAAAAAACGTTGGCCAAAGTCGAAGAAGAGAAATGTAAATGCTTGACAGGCCAAAGGAAATCCAAACTAAAGCTTTTGCCCAATATCATTCACAACGCGAGTAACGAAGGTAAATGTTGCTGTAAAATACATAAAATTACTCGATTTCAATACCTGTACAGTGAGCCCTAGAAATGTTGGCATCATAAACAACTAAATAGGCAAACAATTCTGGCATCTCGACCCAAGCATATCACATTTCAGGACAATGTAATTGAACCCAAAGCAAGCCTCTTCAATTTCCATTGGCAAATTTTTGCGGCGTTCGTTCTCTCGTTTTATGCGTAAATGATGTGATGCTGTGCAGTTAGCCGAAGCTCGGCTTTCGTTGCGGCATGTCTAACACACACTGTGGCTGTTGTTGTTTATGTTCGGGCCATTTCCTTATAATTTTTACAGCTTGTTTTGCTGCGGCTGCGGCTGCCGAAGATGCTGTGTGGATGCTGTGGATGCTGAGCATGCGGCACTTTTCCAGCTTCTCATCTTTTTTTGTTTTTTGGATTTTTTATGTCTTGACTACAGATACTGGTACAAACTATTAGTGCTATTCATTGTTGTAGCCGTCTTTTGGGTCTTTGTAGTTTTATGTGCGCTGTTTTACAACACTGTCGCAGCACGCCCACTCTCAGAACGACGGCATTCGGCATTCGACTTGCCCCTGGGAGAAATTACTTAATTTCGGAATTTCAATTTAGCACTTAAGACTCAAAACATGGCGTCGCCATCAAGGATAGAAAGTGGGCGTGGTGTCCAGCCAGCAGCCCAACTACATGCAGCTACAATGAACTGTGCGAGTGTGTGTAAAAATCCAGCTTACACATGTTGTGACTTTTTAAAATTTCCGGAATTTTTGGCACGCAATGTTTGCTTTTGTTTACTGGCTACCAACTCGACGATGCCTCGATGCCTCAATGCCTGTCATGCAACCAGTCAGCAGTTCAGAGGCTGCCTCTACTTCTCAATTCTTTCCTCTCGTTCTCTCTCCCTCTCTGTCTCTCTCTAGTGCACATAGCTAAGGGATAAGAAATACATTTATATATAAGTTTTGCTCTTGTTGCTGCTGCATAGAACTGCAAGAGCATCAACAACAAATGCTGATATAAGTCTTGGTATCCATAGCTATACACTGTTCTCTAGACAAGGCATATTGGCAACTTGATAGCTGGTAGTGTTGTATAGAGTATTGTCTATTCATATTTTATATTATATAAATAAGCTGAGAGACTAAATATCGAACAGAGTATTGCATCGTCAGTCGCTCACAACTACTAAAAACTCAGTAAACGATAAATAACCTAAGGAGGCAAAGTCGTGAAAATAAATTGAAATATTATTAAGTAGCTTAAGCACTAAGTACTTAAACATAATAAAAAATATATAATACATAATAATATAAAGTCGTAAATTGCTTTTTCGCAGAAATCAATGCAAGTTCTCAACAAAATCAGGTAAATGAAAACGAAGGTTGAGACTCGAAGCTGGTGTAGAAATGTAATTTGTCTGCTTGTGACTACAATTAATAATAATAATAATAAAATCTTGTATTATTAATGACACCTCCAAGCCTTAGACATTATACTTAAAAAGCTTTCAAGTTATTAGACACATTATCAAATCGTATAAAATTAACGAGTTAGTTCGAAAACGAGGAACAATTAACTGTGTATAAAACTGAGCGGCGCACACACCTGTTTGCACCCACACCTTGCAGCTTGGCAAAGTTTTCGAAAAGCAGGTAAACTGTAATAAAACCAAGCCAGAGCGTGCCAGAGCGAGAGGGAGTGGGAGAGAGACAAAGGCACAAAGCCGTGTAAGAGTAACTATATACGTTCACGATTATCCTTACTGTTTGCTTGGCTGCCCTATTTGCACCTGGCACACATGACACACGCTCGTGCTTGGTGCAACATTTAGTCAAAGGCGGCCACACCTCCCGCCAGCTATACCAGCCATGGCAGCCATGCGGTTAGCGAGTTTGTTAAACAGTGTAAAGTTACACGCAACTAAGCACTTAACTGCACAAAAGCTCGACCACCTACGCGGTGGGTGGCTGGGTGGTTGGGTGGTTAGGTGGTTGGCCCAAGCTGGCGT